ACGAAAAGTCGCAGCGGCTCGATAAGAGGTTTAAAATGTCTGTCCAACGCGATGCCCTCCTCGATTCTATCGGTCTTCAGAGCGCGATGTATCTTGCGGATCGACTTACTCGTCGTGTCGATTTCCCTCGCGATTTTTTCACGCTCGCGCACATCAGCCATGTTTGTCTCTGGCAAAGTATCGACAACGACTGGTTACGTTACGGTATCGCGAACTCGTTAAATCCTTTTCTATATCGTCCATTTGTGAGCACACTGTCTTTGTCTATCACTACGAATCCATATTTTTGTTGCCAACAGTCGCGGCACAACGCGCAAAATTCGTCGTACGACATGTCGGTATTCACATGATCGTTGTAAATGTGTTTCAAGTTGGTACCGTCCTGTTTGAACAGGATTAGCAGGTTCGCGTTGTCGCGTATCAGATGTTTAGGTATCCTCGTGTACGTCTGACAGAGATAGAAGCAGTCGACGTTTGCATGGCGACCCATCAAAAAGTATTCTCTCACTGCATCCTGCTTGTCGCATGCCACGCCATCAAAGATAAAAATAAAATTTAGACGCGCCCTGCTCAGTGGAACGACGTCGCTGTTGTTGGAGAACGTAAAATAACCGATTTCGTCGATAGACGTAAACAAATTTTCGAGATATCGATACTTTGGCTGTTGTAACGATTTCGAGTAGACATACACGTTCTCGAAACGTACGCCGTTCGGACTCTCGAGTAAGCTTATGAGAATGTTGGTTTTACCACAATTCGACGGGCCGCAAATAATCGCGCGTATAATACTCGGCAGTATTTCACTGTGCTTATGCTTCTCCATACCGCTTCCCATTATTCGCGATTTCGCGTCACAGTTCGTGACGTGTATCGCCAGCGGTTGCAGCACGAATTTCATGCTTGCACTACGGGCTGTGCGCTCTCGACCGTCTATTTAAAGGCGCGCGAATTCGCGAGTCGTAGTAAAATGTATCTCGCACTGTGTCATCCTTCCGACATTTTGGATTTGAGCGCCGAGCAGTTGCAGTATATACCGAAGATCGTACTGTTACGCGTGTACGGCGACTATATCGACCACGTGTGGGACAAGCTTCCTGAACACGTGAAGGCGGATTCGGAGGTTCGAACGTATCGTCTGCGGCGAGCACTACAATTAGCCGTGGCAGCGGACGCACATCGATGGTCCGGCACCGAAGATAAAGGACTGTAGCGAATGTCGACGTCGCGCGGTGGTCTATTGAATCGAACGATAAACACGCTTCCTTTCGAGTTACATATCCCGGGCTACCAGTTTTGCGGTCCGTGCACTCGGCTTACGAAGCGATTAGCCAGGGGTGACACGGGCATAAATCCGCTGCATGCGGCGTGTCGAGAACACGACATTGCGTATTCTCAGAGCAACGATCTCACCGATAGACACGCGGCGGACAAGGTACTCGCCGATAAAGCGCTAGGACGCGTCACCGCGAGAGATTCGGCTCGGAGCAAGAGAGCCGCCAATGCTGCCGTTTGGGCAGCGATGAAAACCAAGACCAAGATTGGCATGGGCATGAAACCGCAGAAGAAGAAGACGACGAGGAAAAAGACAACGAATAAACAAATACTATCGAACGGCGAAACGAGGCGGCATGTTACCGTTTCTGCCAATGTTGGGCGCGCTCGGATCCTTGATTGGAGGAGCGGCCGGCGTGACGAAAGCGGTAAACGACAGCAAAGCCGCGCGACGTCAGCTCAAGGAACTGCAACGTCACGATCGCGCGATGGAACAGAGTCGCGGACTGTATCTCGCCCCACACAAATACGGATGCGGACTGTATCTCAACCCCTACAAACGTGGACAGGGCGTAGCAGCGAAGAAAAAAAAACGTCAAAGAGACGATAAAAATGCCCTCGGGTGCAACTACCAACGTGCAATTGGACCTGCTCGCGAGACATATGCATGTACCGTACTTTAGAGGTGTTTTCATGCTTTACGCGTTACCGACGAGCGGCGCGCGTCGAAACGAAAGCGGTATCGTGAATCTGGACGATGCGACGGGACCCGGTACTCACTGCGTAGCGTACGCGAAGAGGAACGATCGCCGTGTATTTTGACAGTTTTGGTAATCTTCGACCATCCAAGTAACTGGTACGATATTTCGGGAACGGTGTTACGACGATAGAGTACAATCGCACTTCCTATCAGACGTACGATCAGAACTTCTGCGGACAAATGTGTCTGCGGTTTCTACGAACGGTCGACACGCGTGAATTTGAAAAGCTCGACGAGGTGCTGTGAAATCTCAGTATTCGTGCAACGCTTTTTCCGTCATGTCGCTGACGCTTACGCTGAGCGGGAAGAGCAGCGTTCTCGCAGCAAACTATTTTCCCACCATAGATACAATTTCCGAGGGTTCGTACGAAGTTCGAGACATAAATGAATTCTTGAAAAGTACGATTTTACTTTCGCGCCGCGACGCGCTTGAAACCGTTGACGTAGTGCTTTTGCATGGTGACAATAGCAACAATAGCAACTATAACACCGATGACGACGACGATGGCGAGGGTGCGGAATATCCGATAACGATCCGTCCAAACTACAACACGATGAGATGCGAGATTAGATGCGCCTACAGAATAAACTTTGACAAGCCCAACAGCATTGGGATTCTCGTCGAAGCGTATACTGCGACCGCGAAGATGGCACGAATCCGATGTGTCGATCAATATAATGAACGTAAACGTTATTCGCATAGAGTGTAACGTGACCGTGGACGCGTACAGCAACGACAAAAGTACACACACGATACACGAATTTTCCCCGAGCGTGCCACCGGGATATAAGATATCGGAAAGGCCCACGCAGATCATTTACTTACCGATCACCGCACGGAGCATTACGGATCTAACGGTACGCGTCGTCGACCAGAACAATTGCTCGATTTTCGCGGAGAGGAGATCACCGTCAGATTGCACGTGCGACAGCGACAGCGATAACGCGAGCGTGAAATGCTTGTATTGAACGGAGTGGAGCGCACGCAGAGAGATAACGAATTCTTTACAAGGCTGGTGACGTCACAACATGATAACACTCGCTCACCTAGCTGCATTAACAAGAAAAAGTTCAGCGCGTCGAACGTTAAATTTTTACAATCTTTGGGATTCGTGGTGCGCAACTTTTGAGATGATTCATATCTTGAATATTACCAGTGAGCCGATCTTTGACGATCACATCGTCAAGATCGAGACTCACACGTACAACCCGTTCGCCAATACAACGTTCGGATACAGAGACGAGTTAAGAATACCCACACAGCAACAGGATTTGTACACGTTGCCGTGTGAAAGTTTTCTCTACGTCGAAGGAAGATTGACGGTGAAAAAGAAAAACGATCAGACGCTAACGACACTTGTAAATAATTGTGTGGCATTCATGTTTGATGAAATTCGATATGAACTCAACGGTGTAGAGATTGACCGCAACAGAAACGTGGGCATAACTAGCACGCTCAAGAATTACGTGTCGCTGACGTATGACAAATCTTTGATTGCGCTGAACGCTGGATGGAACACTAGATCTAACACAGAGGAAGGACACTTTAATTTTTGCGTGCCGCTCAGCATGCTGTTCGGCTTTTGCGAAGATTACAAACGCCTGATCGTCAACGTTCGCCACGAATTGATTTTGATACGAGTGCGCAACGACAACAATTACTTGGTGGGAAATCCTGTGACGGAGTCTGAAATTGAATTATTTAAAGTGCAGTGGCGGATGCCTCACGTTGCG